AGGAGGTACTTATGGGCGGTGATCTAAATGCCAAAATTGTAGAGATTAAATTCGCGAGGTTATTTTCCAATTTATGGCAGAGAATCTCGCTAATAATTTAACACGGTTATGCAACAGGATAATCAAGAGTTAAACCAGTTAAAGGCTATAAGCGAAACCTTGTGTATTGGTGGAACAAAGATATCGTCAAAAAAAGGAAAGAATGTGTTAGCGCTCAAAGAATCGCACGAGTAAGAGGAGCGACACAAAGAAGAGAGGATTTTATGTAGAGAATCTGAGGGATGAAACGGCGGTTAAATTAATTGCATATGCCGACAACCTCGTTATCGTGGTTAAGAGCAAGCGTACAACACAACTGGAAGACAGAGCGACATACGCCGTCAATGGAGTGGTAAAGACTTTGAAATAAGTTGGTTTGAAGGTGGCAGCCCACAAGACTGAAATTGTGCTCCTTCAAATTAGAAGACAGCTGCTTAACGTGAACCTGGAGGTCAACAGCACACTAATTACCATCGCTGATGCAGGTAACTCAGTAAGACCTAGGTATAAACCTGGATCGAGACATTAGAATGACAAGACATGTATCAAAGATCTTGAATAAGCCTCAAAACCTAAACTTTTTGATTAGAGTAATGGTATTGGAGGCCCCGTGCTTGAAAACGACTACTGGCAACAATAGTTTAATCGGCAATCTTTACTCTTCAAATACAATCAATAGGAGACGGTAGCAATATCCACCTACTGGTAGAAGAATTAACGGATTTATTCAAGAGAGGAAACGACAAAACAGAAACTAGAATAAGGTTAATATCGAAATGGAAGAAAATATCAGAGAAACGAAAAAAAAAACACAGGCTTTAAGTGGACATGAAATTTTTGGAAGCTTTCGGTACAAAATCACAAAGGCCGTTTCGGGGTAATGGTAAATAAAGTAATGGGAGTAAAAGAAGAGTATGGGAGGCAGGGAACAGATAAGTAAATAAGTGGAAAACGTATATTTCCGGTGCATTGGGTGAGAAGCTTCCAGGTGCGTGGAAACAGGTAAAAGTGTGGAGATAGAGAGAAACAAAGAGAGAGAGAGAAGGAAGGATTTTAGTAGCTCTCTGATCTCAGGAGGGAACCTAACTCGATACTATTTGACTCCATGACATCAAAAGGTTGAATGTCTGTTAAAGAAATTTCCTAACCCCATCTATAAGTTCCAACGGCTTGGATTTATGATGGGTTGGATTGTAGGCGAATTTTATGTCGCTAAACTTTATAGTATACTAAGTTAACTAGTATATAATATATAATAGTATAAGTGTTATGCTATACTAAGTTTTATGATGCATAAATATGAATTGTTTGATTTAACAGTAAGAGATCTTGTGGCTAAAGCGAGACATCCTTATTTGCGGTAATGCCGTTAGTGGATAAGATGTTATCGTATAGACGACACCGCATAAAATTTGCTCGACAATATTTCTAGAATTTTTGACTCTGGCTCCAAACATGTTTTTGCTGTATGATGTATGGTCGTTGTGATACCAGATTAGTTTTTGAAGTCTGGACTCTAACACGAGTAATTCCAGACTTTGATTGTAGAAAAACATCTCATGTGTCCAATACAATTATAGACATTGAGACTACAGTATTAACCTTTAAACACTAACCATTCGTAATGCTAACACTAATAGTAACCATAAGTAATTATTACGACTATATTTATTCTTATTATTGCTTGGGTTGTAACGACAAGACATTAAAGTAATGCACCTTTAGAAAGCTCGCAAGTTAATAGTGATTTCTTTAATAATGTATTCCTTGTGAACCATGCTACTATAGAAATCACAAATCAAACAACAAAAGTCGTTAGTTTTGGAGAAAAAACTATTAGTTTTGGTTAAAAGAATTTTTGTCTATTAAGTTTGACACACGATTTCTAAAAAACGGAGTAGTACAACACCCTTGGCAAGTTATTTTAAAAGATGGTGTGTTTAGTCAAGTTTCCAAAATGGTACAACACTTGCCATTTTTGTTTTCATAAAAAATATTATTGCCTGTTTTTCTGCAAAAAACACGGTTTTAAAAAAATCATACTTTCGTATGCTATTTGTATTTACTCTTTATTTCCTCTTAACTTTGTTAGAAGATGTGCCAGTGAATATCTACAAACTACAAAATGTGGTTTCAACAAGATGGTTGCAACAAGTCCTTTCAAAAGGACTGTTTCAAACAAGGTTAACCTAAAGACAAAATTAAACAAAATTTAAAAAAGAAGCAATTATTAATTTATTTATTATTAATTTTATAGCATTATTTTCTTAAAACTAAAGCAAATGCTCAAATTGTTTGTCGTCGGCACTAATACAAGCTCTGCATCGTCGTAGAAAAGATCTTTTTACTAGTTGTGCAAATCTCATTGCAATTATTTTTTCTGCTGCTGTATAAATATTGTGGCACAGTTCGGCAAGACTTTCAATCGGTTTTTAATACACTGTTTCTTTTATGCAATCCTAATAACAAAAATCAAGGGGATTTATGCCCAGAGAATGAGGAGGCCACGTAATCGAACCAAGACGCCCAATCCATCTTTCTGGCTATTCTGTATGCAATACCGTACAGGGCAAACATAATTAGCTAGGCAATCATCTTGTTGACACCACATTTCTCTGAAGATATTGAGTGGCACATCTTCTAACAAACATGTTGAATTATTTTGGAGGAATTACAAATACGCGTTTTTTGCAGAAAAACAGGCAATAATACTTTTTAGGAAAAGAAAAATGGCAAGTGTTATACCATTTTGGAATCTTGACTAAACAGGTCATCTTTTAAAATAACTTGCCAAGGGTGTTGTACTACTCCTTTGTTTAGAAATCGTGTGTCAAACTAAATGGACATAAATTCTTTCAACCTTAACTCAATCAAACTAATAATTTTTTTGCAAAACTAACGACTTTTGTTGTTTGATTTGTGGCTGCTATAGTAGCATGGTTCATAAGGAATACATTATTAAAAAATCACTATTAAATTGCGAACATTTCTGACCGTAATACCTAAAGATATGATGTACGGGAACGATTTTTAACATTTTCAATGTGTCTATTACCACTTAACTAAGAGACATAGAATTTTTTTCTTATTTTTACCAGAACAGGTATAAGTTGGCGCTGAGTTTTGGGACATCCTGTATGTACATAAATAAGTTTTAGATTATTGATAACGCAGGATATACTTCTGTATGTAAGAATGCTTGAAACAAAAATAATCAATGTATTAAATCTTTTTGTCACACTTTGGTTCATACTTTGGTACGATTTCTACCACAAGTTACTACACACAGTCAGTGCACATTTCGCATGGTGCTCGCCACAAAATGGTTTCTGGCATCTTGTACAATAATTGGTTGTCATTCTTCTTTTTTTGTACGAGCATAGACTGCATGTTGTCCTTCTTCCGGGAACCGGTGCAACTTCTACTGGCTCGTCTTTACCCAAAACGCTATTGATAAGTGATCGGAACGATCGCTGGAGCGTAGGCTACAGTAACCTGAAATGACTCAGTCACGCGATAATCATTGGTTGTATAAAAAGCAAATTGTTATTGTTAATAAAGGGTTGGATAGTTTAATTATATTTTTTGAATTTTGATACTAAAATTATATATTATGTTGACGACATCCGCGTATGCCGCCAACTGTACTGATTTGTATGTTAGTAAGTTGCGTCTTACTACGTCTTACGGGCTATGTTGAAAAGAGTCGGGGTCAACCCATTTCCTTGTTTCAGACCTTGTTTTATTTTAAAAGAGTCGGTTACCCGTCCCTGTACACGAACGAGTCTGTCATTGTTGCTTTTGTCAGCCTAATAAGTTTGGCAGAGATTCCCATCTTATACAAGATGTTATAGAGCTTCTCTTTGTGTATACTCTCGTATGCCTGACGAAATTAACAAAGATGTTGTCGANCTTTTGTCAGCCTAATAAGTTTGGCAGAGATTCCCATCTTATACAAGATGTTATAGAGCTTCTCTTTGTGTATACTGTCGTATGCCTGACGAAAATCAACAAAGATGTTGTAGACATCTACGTGGTGCTCCCAAGCTTTCCTCAGTACTTGTTTCACCGTGAAGATCTGATCGGTGGTTGATCTGCCCTGCATGAAGCCTAATGGTATACACCAATCAGGGTTTCTGTGACAGATTTCAGTCTGTTGATATCCCTCAATATTTAGAGCTTCTCAGCTTGTCACCCTGTTTATGTATGGGACATATTATACCCCTTTTCCACTCGTTTCTTGCTCCCATATTTTTCCCCTAGCCTAATCTAAACTTTTTTTTACTGATCGAATTTACTTTCTAATTCTAGAATCCAATCAGAATTTTGATTGCAGAAGTCTCCAGTGTTGCCAGTATAATTACAGATTTCTTATTATTATTTACTGCCCTTTCTAGTAATTCTAGACGTTTCTTGCAGTTAGTAATTCGGTCTATATAATTTCATGATTGCTTTATATTATAAAAAACATTTACTTAGTTGTATTGTTGAAAAAATGTATTCGTTCTCATTCGAGACTTGAAATATCTATGTTGAAATAAAGATGTGTTAATTATAATAAGTAGTTTGCCAACAACAACTTATAATAATAACATTTTAACGATTTCTTTTAAAAAGAAGCGGAAAAAACCTATGATTAATAATTACTATAATGCCACATAATTGCGAATGAAAGTGATTTCAGTAATACTTTAGTATACTTACATAATTACATCATCTTAAAGGTTAACCAAATTTATTCGATAATTCCCATTCTTTTTCGTCGATTTAGTTCAAATTATAAAAATAAATTTGTGTATGAAAAAAATGAATCCTTGAATTATAAACGCTGCAAATATGTAATCGTTATAAAAATAATCTTTGAACCTGACTATTTTTTCACATCAATTTGCGATTCATAATCACATGACCGCAAACTATTGCTCACTATAAATTCATCTCCACCTGTCCGGAATGATCAGTACGGTTTTAAAAAAGTAACCAAAATGAAATCGTCGGTGGTCGTTGCAGTTTTGTTTTTAACGTTTTCCGCTCATGTAAGAATAATCTGACTTTATTAAAACGACGCAACAAGTACTATTTTTTAGGGTTTAACTCCCGAGCAACAAGCTAAAGTAAAGGAACACTTTAAAGATTGCATCGCTACAACTGGTGCAATTGCTGAAGACGTTCATAAAAGTCGTGAAGGAAACTTTGTTGACGATCCCAAAATTGGAGCGTTCGTGTTTTGCTTCTTTAAAAAGGTTGGATTTATGAACGAAGCGGGCGATTTCCAATCTGAAGTTGTAAAAGCGAAGTTATCACCTGAACTAAGCGCCGCTGACGTTGAAGCTGTCTTGGGTAAATGTAGTTCAACTACTGGAAAAGATAACCATGAAAAAGCGTATAACATTTATAAATGTTATTGGGGTGCTACTCCTAATCATGTTAAATTAATCTAAAATGTTATTATTTTTAAATGTTTTTGGGAAGATAATAAATAATATTCATTGTTAAATATTATCGTGATTTGAATGACACAAGATAATATAAATTCTCGCTCACGAAATAATTGCATAAAAGTTAAAGGAGAGTAACGGAGATGAACTGAACTGGTTCTCCGTTTATTTCATCCAGAAGTTAGTTATAAGGGTTTTATACAACTTTCCAGTGAAAACTTGTCAGGATCCGCTGAGATACTGATAAAGCACTTTGTAAAATTAATGTCTCTTACAACTTTTCAAGCGAAACTCTTTTATCTTTTTACATTATAAAAGAATTCACTTTACACTTTTAAAAATCGTTTAAAAATACTTTTCAAATTGTTTATCCTCCAGCTTTACCCATCGCTTACGTGATTACTTCGGAAATCCGAGGAACAGATGCTTCATTCAAACCCTCTACCGATGAATTGCTCGAATCCCCGTAAACATAAATAATGTATGAGGTGGTGAAATGCAGGTCAACATGTATTTGCAAGTCAATCTTGTCAAAGTACCTCAACACAAACGGACGCTCGCAAATAAATCTCTCTCTAGAGCCTCATTATTTTGCCACTAGAATCATCCGGGAACAATTAGGGCAAAGGAAATTTGTAATTTGGGCATTAAGTTCGGCAAACAAACCTAATTAGAGAAGTTCGTGGTTCATTTCGAAATCCGACGCGTATATAATAATAATGATAATATTAATAACTCACAACGAATGTAAAATAAAACATCCTATTTCCGCAGTTCTAATTTCCGTCGTTCAAAGGAATTCTTTTGTATTTCTTATAATTTATAACACCAACAGATTTATTACTCCATTCATTACAATATTGTTTGTGGTAAAAATTATTTATAATGTTTTTTTATTATTAAAACTCACAAAACTACTGTTTCCAGATATCTACTTGTTGGTATAATGTATATGTTCACCCAAAACACTAAATCGTTAATACGATGCTATTATTGATCATTCGAGTGACATTCGTGAATTATTAAGCAGCAAATAGCTCACACAATTCGCTATGACTAAAAGCGATAATCAATGTGTAACGGAAATAACTTCACGCTTTCGCTGTTTCTTGATAATTAGAAATATGTGGAGATAAATAACTTTGTTAAGTTTCATTAATACGGGAAATAAAAGGAATTTTGATGTGTCATTTTTAATTCTGTTTGTAATTAATTTTTTGATATATGTATATTAAATCTTTTAACAAAATTTAAAACAATTAAATGTTAGTCCATACTCAAAACTTAAAATTGGGTACAATCAAACCTCAAATGTTCCCCTATAACCCTAAGAAGTTTCATTTATCAATTCGAAACTGTTTTGGAGAAATGTATTTGATTTCGTTGAAAAATTCCTTTTTGAAGAAAATACTGTTTATCATTGATCTTAATTGAAAAGTTTGTCACATTAATGACGTTTAGAAATTGTTATGAAAAGACTGTTCGTCCAGAAGACTTAAAATTTGGTATAATCTAACTTCAAACATTCTTCTATAACCTCAAAATGTTTCATTTATCAATTTTGAATAGTTTTGGAGAAACATATTTTTCCTTAATTTGATGTTAGATAACGTCAAATTCAAACTGGCGATTTAAATATTTTTTGTAGTAAAACTGTTCAAGCTGGAAGCTTTAAATTTGGTATAACATAACCCGTCCTCAAACAATCTTTTCTAACCTCAAGGAGTGTCAGATGTCAATACATCCGAGAAAACACTGCTTATCATTAACCTTAATTGAAAAGTTTGTCAAATTAATCAAGTTTAAAAAGTTTTATGAAAAGACTGTTCAGCCAGAAGACTTAAAATTTGGTATAATCTAACCTCAAACATTCTTCTATAACGTCAGAATGTTTCATTTATCAATTCTGAATAGTTTTGAAGAAACATATTTTTCCTTAATTTGGTTTTAAATCAACGTCAAATTCAAACTGGTGATTTAAATTTTTTTTGTGAAACAACTATTCATGCTGGAAGCTTTACATTTGGTATAATCTAACCTCAAACATTCTTCTATAACCTCAAAATGTTTCATATATCAATTCCGTATACTTTTGGAGAATATATGTATGTAGTTTCACGTGGGGGTGAATTCCTTCACAGCAGTTAGATCCCAACGGGCCCTTTGTACATTCCCACAATAAACAATTCATTCAAGCGTCAGAAAAACAGCCCAATTAATGAACGTTAATATAAAACAGAAAGAAATATCCGAAATTTGAGGCCAAGGTACGCCAAAAGTGGATTCCGTTAAGTACGCGAGGTTGGGACAGTCACAAACAATATGATTTACCGTCTCGTCTTTCATTTCACACCTTCTACAGAGAGATATATTCTTCATGTAGAACATGTCCTTACGTAACCAGCAGTGTCCGGTCAGGAAGTGAGTGAGCAGCCTCAAGTCATTTTTGATTTTCCTAGGAACTGAGTAGATCTCTTCCGTTCAGGTTAGAGCAGAGTTTTCTTTGCAAAGGCACCTACTGCTGTCTCATCCCATCTATCGCAAAAAGCTCGATAGGAGATGAAGTTGCTCAGCTTTGATGCTGTATGCAAAATCTTCGATCTCTTTCGAATCAAGTGCTTGGTCGATGCGCTTCACCACTATGTGTAGGGCGGTATCCACAGATTTACCTTTGATATAGGTATGTTGATGCAAATCCAAAGGAGTAAGTACATATTCTCTAATGTAATGATCACATAGTCTTTCAAGTGTCTTTAAAAGAAATGATGAGAGACTAATGGGTCGAAAGGCTTTGGGGTCCGTTAGGTCGTTTTTTCCATTCTTTGGTATGAAGGTTAGTGTGACCCTCCTCCGGGTGATGGAGACATAATTAAAGGCTAAGCAAGTTTTAAAAACCCTCATCAAGTGTATTTTCATATCTTCTAGGCTCCATTGAAGAAGAGCAGGAAAGATCTCGTCGGGTCCGTTTGTTTTGAAGGGCTCAAAACTGTCAACGGCTCACTCTGTTGGCAGTTCTGAGTTCACTCTACCAACTCGTTCTGTACAACCTGGTTGGCTATCTGTCAGTCATCTCTGGTAGAAGAGTTGTTTAGTTCCACTTGGTGTGAAAGCATTGAAAAATAGGAACTGCAATGATTCTTCTGGATCCTTGGCAAAGCTACCATCAGTCTTTTTTAGAATGTCATAACTGTGTTTTTGGCCGCGAGATAGTATTTTGTTTAGGCGTGAGGCCTCAGCAGCGCTCTCCACCTCCCCATAAAAACCTCTCTAGGCTTGTCGCTTCTTTTGACGTAATAGACGTTTGAATTCAGTCTAATTTGTTTTGCTTTATTAAAAGCTTTCCTGCAGGTGACCCTCGGTGAATGTAGATCAGGAAGCATTCAATCCTGACTACAACGGATTCCCGATTTGATTCTTACGTCAGGAGAAACGCGGTCTTGTTCGGTTCATCTTCCTAATTGATGCCACCACGGAACACCCGAGTGAAGCAGAACGTTCATTCTGCCCTTGTGCGTGGCAAGCCATTCAGCCGCTTTTTCAAAAGCAGCGAAGATCAGAAGCATGCTATCTTCTTTCACCTCTGAGTGTAGCAAATACTCGGTTTGCAACCTCTAGGTGAACACTTTTTGTTATCCTTCTTATTTTTGGTAGTTCATCTTTCAGAACTATATGCAACTTCGCCAAATTCAAATCAGCAATTTAAATTTTTTTTTGGTAAATTGTTTAAGAAAGTAGCTTTAAATTTGGTATGGCCTATCCTCAAATAATCTTTTATAACCTCAAATGTTTTTAGTCAATGTAGCCAATTAAAAATGTATCGCTATTGAAAAAAATTTATTGGAAACTCACTTATTAAAACTTTAAAACATAACACATCCTCAAACGATTTCGTTGGAATGCACAAAAAAGTATAAAAAACCGACAAACTTAAACGCCAGATTAGTATTGTTCCAAACTTTATAAAGAACATATCCTGGTAATAAATCAAATTAAGGATGAATAAATTAGTGCTTTTCACTATTTTAAATATAGTTGCCATCACAGCGCAGGTAATTAATTTTTTATAAAAACTTAAATAACTATATTATTATAATATTTAGGTTATTCATTTTTAATTTTTAAAGGATTTCTACGACCAGACCCACGTTTACATGCGTTTCAAAGATTGTTTAATGTCCTCCGAAGCCGATCCCTTAGCTGTTCGTTATCTCAGAGGTGGAAATTTCGTCGATGATCCGAAACTAAACGATTTCGTGTTTTGCTTCCTGCAAAGCGTTGGGTTAATGGATATTAATGGAAACATCCAAGTGGGAACGTTCAAAAAATATTTGAGACAGGATTTTGGTGAAGACGATATTGAGAACATCATTGCAAAGTGTGAATCGGTTGTAGGAAAAAACCTTCCTGACAAGGCGATGAAAGTGTTTAAATGTTATTATAACAGCCCATTCCGATTTGTATTTCTTTGGTGAATTGATTTTTTTAATGTTCTATTTAATAAGTTTATTATACATTTTTAATTTGGTTGATATAACAATATTTTGGTAAATATGAATAAATAAACAAAGTAAATTTAATTTTGTTTTTTCAACAACGTAATAGAGAAATAGGTTAGATATTAATATGAATTAATTAGAGGCTATTATGCATTATAATTCCTGCAATTTTCTTCATTGCCGAACGCAATCGAAACTTTTTTATTATTTATACCAAATCAAAATCACAAAATTAGATAATAAATCAATTTTTTGTATTAAAAATTTGTAGGTTCATCCGGTTCGAAGAATCTATTTTAAAATTTAAATTTGCCTTTTCTATTCGACTCAGTTTGCTGAGACGTCAAATTGTGAACAAACTGCACGAGCATACGGGGTAAAAATTGAATTTAACGCACCCGGAGCTCTTGGTCTCGGAAATGTAATTTCAGTTTAAACGGTTTCTCGTTTGTACGACTAGAAATTGGTAGTCCGAACATGAGTCGGGGTATTTACAGACGGTTAGAAAAAAACTAATTACAATGAGACTAAAAAGTTAGTGCAAAAAATTTCAGGGATTTCTGTT